CTGGTTGTTCGGAAAAAAAATGCCCCGGTTTTAAAGTCATATGGTCACGGTGTTTCATTGATGAGACAATCGAGCAGGGCCACAGCTTGGAAAATGTCGAGTATCAGGCGGCCAGCAGGCTGAAGAGGCGGTGTGCCCCTGCTCGTCACCAATAGATTGGAGGCACACGTAGCAGGCGCTGATATACAAGGGGCTGCTGGTATCACCCCCTCTTGGCCCTCTTACCACCCGGCACAGGATTTTGTTATGAAAATAAAAATAAAAAATCTCAGTCGGCAACAAAAACAAAGAAAAAGGGAGTAGATTTGTTGCTGGTGGTTTGGGGAAAAATATCAAGAGTCTGAACAACAAAATAAAAAATCTTCACGCGAATAGAACGTACAGCTAGCAACTTTTAAGTCAGATTCTGCTATAATGACTCGGCAATGTCGGCATTCTATTCGAGGTTATTGTACCGTGATACACCAAATTCTCCTTTGGGTGCTTCTACACAGGTTGAAAGTTGAAACATAGTTTAAAGTTGAAGCAAAGTTGAAAGTTGAAACAGCCAAAGTTGGTTGTTTCAACTTTCAACTTTCAACTTTTAACTTTCGANTCGACTTCAAGTTGAAACATAGTTTAAAGTTGAAGCAAAGTTGAAAGTTGAAACAGCCAAAGTTGGTTGTTTCAACTTTCAACTTTCAACTTTTACCTTTCAACTTCGTTTCAACTTTCAACTTTGGTTGGTTGAAAGTTGAAACAAAGTTGAAAGTTGGGTCCCACGCTATCATGAAGGGTCGAAGACAAAGCACTCGGTCGAAAGTTGAAAGTTGAAAGTTGAAAGTTGAAACAAAGGTTGACCATGAGTGACATATACAAAGATTCTTTAGTTGTCGCCATTATGGGCAACCGCGGTAGTGAAACCACTACAATGAAACAAAATAAAATAGTAAAATCCTAAAATAGTATACGGAAATCGTTTGTCAATATGTTGTGACGGTGGTCTGGTTTTGGATCAGTTATCAGGACCTGGTGGTTTAAACCGCCAGTACCTACCGGTTAGGGCGGTCGTTAATGCCGAAGCCGAATCGGTGGCCTGCCCCTCCGGGGTCCAAATTCATACAAGGCTGGGGGGTACGAGAAAAGCGGTAGGTACCGGTGGTTTAAGAGGAAGGGGTAAGGATCAGGGCGGCACGGGGCCGATTACATTTCACACCACCGAAAAATTGTGGCCTACCGGTGGTTTAAGAGGAAGGGGTAAGGATCAGGGTGGCACGGGGCCGATTACATTTCACACCACCGAAAAATTGTTATTCAGGCCACGGTACTCCGGCTCCAGTGAGTCTAATTCCAAGCACCAAATGTAGGCTTCATGTAGCCTTCAGCTAACAACAAAAACAAAACCATGCGTTTCAACTTTGAAGTCGCATACAAACAAAAAAAAAATCGAATAGAAATAAAGAACGTTTCTCTAGCGTAGCAGCATTCGGCGCAACACATTTTTATGAAGCAAGGGATTGGAGTAGAATGCCTGGACGTTCCTTTTCGATACAACATGCAGCCGTTGTACTGGAAAGTTGGAAACAACATTTTTTTCTGCTTGGAAATGTCTAAAAAAGATGCACCGATACCTAAAACAGGCCCCTCTTGTTTCACCCAAACTCCTCGAATACAACTCCCACGTATAATGTTCCCGGGAAGAACTTAGCACTTTCCCGCGTGTATATCACCGCAATCACAGCCGATCCTGGACATATCAGCCGAGGATTCCAGCAGCATTAAATAGTACCCTAAGAGTCTCTAGCGGAGATCCCTAGCGGTCGGCGGCAGAGCGCCCCTGTCCCCGGCACCCCTCCGGGAGGCCACAACCGCCCCAGAACCACCTCTCAAAACACCTGGACACCACACATTGGCCTGTGGGTGTCAGCATGAAACCCGCATCGCTTCGTAGGTCGCCAATTTTTTTTTTTCCTACGGCTCTCCGCGCGGCGCGGCTCCTCCGAGTTTTCCCACTACCGGTTTAAGTCAGGCAGTCTTTTTGCGCCAGAAATGTTTTCCTTAGCTGAAGCCCGATCATGGTCCCAGTAAGTGTTATGCTAGGTTACCGTATCATGGGACGCTGAGCCCGGTTCGCAGCA